GGCCCAATATAATGATAAATTATTCATATTAACCACAGGCCCAAAGTTACCACGGGCCGCCCACCACAAAGAAGGCCCAATTTGATGATTTATCCGATATCAATTATTCAATTTGTCATACACTCATACTCACAGAATCGTCGCTCACAGGCTCACAGCACTCATCTTCCCTAACAAGCCGAAAACCATAAGTACACTTAGATCTGTATTCAGGTTTTTGTGCACTGAGATCTCATTACTTTTCTGCTTCCCTTTTTTCAATTTTTGGCTGAGACTATTCAGTATGCCTGCATTGATGCAAGAACCACTCAACCTTGGATTTCATACAAGGAGTAAGAATAAAAAATCAGAAACAGGATTTTTCATCTTCTGAATTTTCATCAATGCACGGGCACACGATTGTGTTGTGTATGGTGGCCTAAGTACAATCAACATTATTCAGGGAAAAGTATAAATCAGAAACAACATACAGAGTAGTGTCCCATCTTTTGGCTCATAATCACTTATATTCACTCAGAACTTCCAGATTAATTCATTCAATGTTATGTCTCCTGTTTCCCGCATACACTCGGCAGGTTCGCCACTCAAATCTCCTCATACGGGCAGCAATTTTCCATTTTATCGGATAACCAATAACCGGACCGAAAAAACCGATAACTTTTCGGTTTGAAACCGAACCGAGGTTCAGTTCGGTTTACGGTTTTGACTCTGGACAAACCGAAAATTCGGTTAACCGAATTTTCGGTCGGTTCGGTTCGGTTCGGTTTTGACCGAATGTGCAGCCCTATCTTCATCTAACAAATTAATTTATAATAGAAAAATGTATGATAAATTGTTGGATGATCAAGGATTAACACAATGAAATAATTACTTGATACATGTTCAAGTAAATAGTATAATCTTTATACTTGATACATGTTTTAGGAAATAATATAATCTTTATAAAAATACTGTTGTACTATTTATATTTTATTAATATTAATAATTTAAACAATAAATATATGTAAAATAATATATCTTATTAAATTATATTTGTAATACTAAAATAACTTAAAAGAATGAGAATAAAAAGAAATATTTTGTGGAGTAAAATATAGAGCAAACGATTGGAGACGAAACTTGATTTTTGTCTCTAATCTAGAGTAGAACAAACTCTGCATTATTGTAGAGATAAAGGATGGAGATGGCCTCATAGTATATAATATTATGTATATTTAAATGCATTGCCCCCATAAAATATAAATTAAAGTAAATAATCTAATAGGTAGGAAATA